AAGTATCCTACAGAAGCTCGCGATGTTGAACAGCTGAAGATACGGGTCGAGGGTTTTTTTTGCTTAGGATGTTACGGTTTAGGTGTTGGGCTTTGAGTTTGAGTTTTGATGGGTCGAGGACTCATCCAAACTCCCACGGCGTGCCATCCAAAAACCCGAAACCCTGACCCTCGACGCTTGGGGCTGAAAATCCCCAAACCCTCTGAACCCAACCCAAAGCCCCGAAACCCTAAACCTACGAGGAAGCCTCGAGGATAGAGACCACCACCTCGTCCGGCATCAGGCTCAACGATAGCATCGTAAGTGGCAGCCTTGTAAAAGCGTTGTGCTCTGATGGGTCGTACTACACCTCTCCCGCAAATGGCGAGCAGGAGCCCAAACCTTAAACCCTGAAGCCTCCAACCCTTATCCGTGAACTCTATCCAAAACCCCATAATACCTCGGGCCCCGTCCCTACAAAGCCCCAGGCCTGTTGAGGGGTCACCACCTGAACAGTCTCGTTTCGAAGGAATTGAAGGCTTAAGGGAGGGTAGGGAAGAGGGAACCCCTAATCTAAACCCTTAACCCTTATAAACCCTAAACCCTGAACTTTTAGGCCCTTGAATTTTCTTAAAGTAAAGTATCCGCCCATAATGATTGGTTGCTCTCGGCTTTCTCTCAAGCCCTGAATCACCGGTTCTAATAATACAATCAACTGACTATCAATCCATAGACTAAGGTTTACGAGCTTGGAACGAACCTATGGTCTCCATTGTACTTCCTTTTTGGGGTTACCTTTTCGGATCCTTAACATAAAATTGGTTAAACCAAACAAAGGAACTACAATAGAGACTATAGGAAAATAGCATGTTAAGGAACCCCCAGGGAATCATTTTGCTAATTATGCAAGTCAGCAGGCCCTTATGATTTCTTGCTTCCTGCAGAAAAGCATGGGAGACCTGCATAGTCAGAGACTCCAAAATCCCTGAATTAAGGAATATTCCTTAAATTATAATAGGGTCCCCAATATAATTTAAGGAATATTCCCTAATTAAGGGATATTGGAGTGCGGAAAATCGGATCTGCCATCCGGCTATGGCGGATGGCGTGTACTGCTGCAGGGTTTTAGGGTTTAGGGGTTCCATGTTTAAGGAACCGCGCTCGAACTGACACCCGGCACTGCGTGCGACTCCTTTTCTTTGGCCACTGCTGTTGCGAGCCTACTCTGTACTCATTCGGCTACGTCGCCCCCCCTTGGGGATCAGGACGGTGCACCAGCAAACGGGTGAAAAGGCATCATGGGCGATTCCCAGGGTTTAGGGTTTAGGGTTTAGGGTTTTGGGCGATTCCCAAAAAGATCTGCACAGATTTGACTCAACCTCACCACTGTGCTACGCATGGCTTGGCTACAGTCATTTCCAGCTCCCGGAGCTTCTTTGCACTCTGGCCACGGTTTACGTTCTTTTTAGGGTTTAGGGTTAAGACTTTAAGGATTAGGGGAAACCTAAAACCCTAAATCCTAAGGTCCTAAACCCCATGAGCCCAGGAGCTTCCTCACACAAATATGAACCCTGGTATTTGGGGGGGTTATAGGCCCAAGGTTTCTTAATCAGATTCCTACATTATACCCTCAACCCTAAACCCTCAACCCTATACCCCAAACCCTCGGGAGCTTCCTCACTTAGGGAAGCCTAAAGCCTAAAACCCTAAATCCTAAGGTCCTATACCCTAAACCCTCGGGAGCTTCGTCACACAAAGCTATGAACATCAGAGTCACTTCCCAATGTCTCGGCAACCGATGCCGACCGAGCTCCTAGCCTCGGAATCTGCAACTCCAAAGTCCGGGGCTGAATAATTAGAAGAGGTTTCGGGAGTTCCTTAACAAAGCTATAGTAGAATATACCCCTAAACCCTACTGTGATTATAACAATGGTCAGAGTATAGGGTTACAGTCAAGCATGACTAGACTAAGTATAAAGGCTGCTACACTAAGCTGCTTCGGGTTGTTGTCGGGCAGCAAATGTAACAAAATATCAACAGCAATACTGTGAAGATGGTGCTGCTAACCAACAAGTGGTGATGATCTTGATGAAGATGATGAAGAAGACGACGATCACCATGTTCATCATCATCATCATCGTGTTTTCGGAAGTCCGTGTGCAAGGGAGTGGCATCGTCTTGACTCTCACAGTTCGCCCTCTTCTATTTCAAACAGTCGGTGCTGATTCGAGGACGTTAAACCTTAAAAACCCTAAAACCTACTCAATCAACCCTCCCCAATTCCCAGGCCGTGTCTTGCCACCCAGTCCAACCTAATAAAGTCGTCAACCCTCTCTAAATCCCTTATTCATAGATCCCAAATCTTACCTCCGTAATGCCTGAATCGTGTAGAGTGTTCGCCACTCGTCTTCCCATATGGATACCCCAGATGCACGCTCACAAACTTCCTCGGCAACCCTGTATGTGTTCAACGTAATCATAATGTCATCCCTACTTCCCATTCCCTGAGCCCTGAACACAAACCTCTTCTGCCAATTTTCCACATCACAGCCTAAATCTGTTCCAAGCCTTGCACAGGTCGCAATGTCTTGAACCCTGCTAAGATTTCATGAGGTTGCATCAGCGCTTGGGTTGGGCGTTCAAGGCAACCATAAGATCCACAAGGTTGTACAGCGGTTTACATTATACATATCTTTTTTTAAGTCAGGAGACCTGGTAAGACACATGGTGCGGCATCGCCAAGCCTACCCCCCTTCCCCCCAGTGGTATGGTACCTCCTGCCCCGGCCCTGCGTGGGTGTTGGAGTTTGGCTTGATAAATGCCCGTTCCGCCATGCGGTTAAGAGGTCGTCGTTTTGATGCCAAGATTCCAAGCCTACGCCCAACGACTGGCACTGTCACACAGATTCTGCCTTACCTCCGCGGGCAGGGGGGGGGCATACCCATGGGGAGGGAGGGCCACTGACGCGACGACGCGACACCACAAAGCGACCTGGTAGTCATGTGTATCATGTCGAGTGGAGGTAAGTAAGTCCCTTTAAGTGTCCACGTAGCAGATGATACAGGATAAAGTGCATCTGCTTCCTTCCCTCCTCAAGTACCCCAAAATCATATGCTCTCACATGCAACTCCACAAAACTACTGTCCTGAAGCCGCATTTTACATTCTTCGGTGCCCCTAAACCGTATAAGCCCTGGAAAGCAAGGCCCGCACTACACTGCCACAAGGCATCCCTTGGCAGGATCCATGCGCACCAAGATATTCTCTCCTGGTGTCGGCGGTACTTGTAGGTTTCAACTAAGCCGGCAACCGAAACACGGCATAACACTGCACCATACCCCGCACCCTAAGCCCGTGAGCGCTGAATGCCGAAATTTTACACTTTCCTAGCACCCCCAACCCTGAACCCTAAATCCTCGCATCCGCAACAGAGTGGGGGCAAGGCGGGAGATGCAACCAAGGACTGGGAGAATCCACGATGGCGGTTAGAGGGTATAGGGTTTCGGGTAAAGGGTTTATAGGGTACAGGGTATATGGGAGTTTCCGAAAATAGGGGACCCTAATATAGTGCCCTAAACAGTAGTATCCTTATATAAGGGTCCACAAATAAGGTATCCCTCATTTTCGTGAACTCCCATATAGGGTAGGTATGTTTAGCCATAGGCTCCATGGTAGTTCCTTTTTCGGGTTCATATTTGGAATCCTCTCAAGTAACACCAAAAAGGGACTACTATGGAGCCTATGGGAAATAGTTAGAATAGGGTGGTTGTGTCTTGTAATTATAGTATAGTAACCCCCAAACCCTATTCTAATGATCAAGCCCTCGCATCGCAGGATGATGAAGCGAGATTTCGAAGATTTTGGGACCCGGCAGTTGGGGCTTCTATGACGGTTCAGGGTTTAGGATTTAGGGTTAGGGTTTAGGATTTAGGGTTCAGGGTTTAGGATTTAGGGTTAGGGTTTAGGATTTAGGGTTTAGGGTTTAGGGTTTAGGGGTTTAGGGTTTAAGGGATTCGGGTTTAAGGGATTAGGGTTTAAGGGATTAGGGTTTAAGGGATTCGGGTTTAAGGGATTCGGGTTTAAGGTTTAGGGTTAAGGGGTTTAAGGGTTTAGCGTTGAGGTTTATGCTCTCACACTCGGGCTCCGCCAGGCGAGGTTCGTAGGCCGGCTTGGTGGAAGAAACGAGGGTTTAGGTTTAGTTTTTTTTTTTTTTCAGGGCCTTTTTCAGGTCACGCGAGGTTTAAGGTTTAGGGTTTAAGTGACAGTGAACCAGGAGCAGGTTCTGAAGCGAGCATTTGCCCAGAAATAGTGGGTTTAGGGTTTAGGGTTCTTAGGGTTTGGGCTATAGGGTTTTTAGGGTATGGGGCTTAGGGTATAGGGTACAGGGCCTTGTTCAACATATTTTGTTGGGGATCTGAGTCATCTGAGACCCTCAACTCCAACATGATACGGGATATGGTAGGATAGGGTCCGAAGCATTGAAACAACCATGCAACTACACAGTTCTAGTGACCATCAGAACTGGGGTTCTAGATTTATATTCACTGTCTAGATTATTCACTACAGCATTGTTCCATGGGTTCAGACATGGCAGGGCTTATAGGATTTGATGAGGCTCAGGGTTTATATAGGAAGACAGGGATGACAAGGCGAGGGAAGGATAACGAACCAAAGCCCCGGTCAAACGACTGCGATGCCAACAGATGCGAAAGTGCGAAAGTGTGACAGAAGAGAAGCAAAGAAGATCTTTACATAAGTCAACCTCTGTCTATCTCTACGACGCCTGGCAACATATTATAGCAACAGCAGCTGTCTCTTGCCACTCCTGCTCCTGCTGATCTAGTGCTACCTCTATCGCCAGCGTCATCACCACTATAGAAATCATGGAATACGGGCCGCACCCTGTAACAATATATGTGGATCATGCGACACCACGAAATCAAGTCGCAAACACGGCAAAGCCCGGCAAAGGCCAGCAAGATTTGTTCCGGACGCTTGCCGAGTCATGCGCGGAACCGCGCATCATTCCACAGCATCAACCGCGGCATCCGGACAGTGCCAAATTTCACCAGGAGCGAGCAGCTCGTACTTGCCGATTTCGTACATGGTGCCCATCCGCGACTGCTCCCGCAGGTACCGTTGCTCCAGCTCGGGGTGGTAGTGAAGAGCCTTATAAGACGATACACAAGTTGGGAAACACATCGCAAGCACCATCAACAAGAAGAGGGCTTACCAACAACAAACTCATGTCATCATTATTTTGTTACAATTATCATTACAGCTTTCCTACATGAAGAAGGAACATCTGAGCACAGACGCATAGGCAATGAGATGGAACCAAGACATAAAATCACGTAACGTAGCAGCGAACAGGTGAAACATAGGGACTATAGTCTACACTAGAAAAAACTAAGCTGGCTGTGGTGCAAAGATATGTATGAGGTTATCATTGCCATGCTTCTACTAGCATTAGTGTGGCTACTATTGTTATAGTTATTGTTATTACCATGAACATGATTCTCAAGATGAATACTTGATTATGCTTGTTCTTCCCCTTCGAGGCTCTTCCAAGAAAATCTCCTCCCGCAGTGCCGGTAAGTCGATCTTTCGTCTCAGAAACTCAAAGTCACTCAACTTCAGGGGTGTGCAAACAGGCTCATCCTCAGGGGCGACTGCGACACCCAGACCTTCCAAAACCCCTTAATTAAGGAATATACCTTAAATTATAGTAGAGTCCCTAATATGATTTAAGGTATATTCCTTATAGATCCCTTTATAGATCCCTTTAAGGAACCCTTTAAGGAACCCTAGGTTTAAGGTATATTCCTTAATTAAGGGGTTTTGGAAGGTCTGGGCGGGCCAGATGCAGGGTTGAGGGTGTAGGGTTTCGGGTTTAGGCTTCTTGGAACGTCCCGGGTTTAGGGTTTCGGGGTCTCGGGGTTTTAGGGGTTTAGGGTTTGGGCTTCTTGGAACGTCCCGGGTTTAGGGTTTCGGGGTCCCGGGTTTAGGGTCTCGGGTTTAGGGGTTTAGGGGTTTAGGGTTTGGGCTTCTTGGAACGTCCCGGGTTTAGGGTTTCGGGGTCCCGGGTTTAGGGTTTCGGGCTTAGGCTTCTTGGAACGTTCCGGGTTTAGGGTTTCGGGGTTTAGGGGTTTAGGGGTTTAGGGTTTGGGTTCAGCCGAAACAAACGCATGTAGTTGTCGTCTTCTCAGCGGCTTGCCGTGTCCTCCGGACAGCGCAGATCCGTGTCCGTATCTTCCCCGAAGAAGCTCCTCCGTCTAGGGTTTTCGATAAACGTCTCGATTTGTGTCCAGGCTTTAGGGCTTAGGGTTTAGGATTCAGTTGGCAACATGACCACTGGACATCAACTTTGGCCCTGCCTTAACCCCTGAATAACCTACCTTTTGAGGGCTCCTTTATTATGATTTCCTTACCCATAGGCCCCAAAGTAGTTCCTTTTGGGGACTACCTTATGGGATTCTAAATAGGAACTATTTTGGGGCCTTAGGGTATATACGACCTTTAAAAAGGTGGGTTCTTCCGGGTGAAGGTCGGGGCCCTGGTGGTTTTGTGCCTAAACCTTCAAGCCCAGGGCTTAGTTACCGGAACAGCAGGTTTGTGGGATACAAAATATATGGGTAACCTTCTATTGAGGTAGCTGGTCCCAAACCCGAGAAACTAGTAGGTTATGAACCCTTAATTACACTCTAACCCCTCAAACAGTAGCTTTCTTTGATCCCCAGGTAGGGGAACTCTACCCGAAACCCTAAACCCCTAGAACCCAAACCCCTAGAACCTAAACCCTAAACCCCTACCTGTAGCCGAAAAGACCTACCTTTTTAAGGAACTATATATAGAAACCATAATAAGGGACCCTAAAAAGGTAGGTCTTTCCGGCTACAGGTAGACCCTAAACCCTCAACCCCAACTGACAGGTGTCCAGCTCAACGCTTGCTCGGCAGAGACCCGATGCTCGGGATCGAACTGCAGCAGAGCATCCTAGGATTCATGGTATAAATCCTGGATTACCTTATTGACGCTATGTAGACTATCCGTGGGACCACCCGTAACCTAAGAGTGACAAGGGTCCCCTTTTTGATATTGGGTAGTGTTATAAACCCTAAACTCTAAACCCTTATATTTAACCGAAGGCCAAAAACAAAACGGTCAAACACTGCCTACTGGGAGACCAAGCATCCAACAGTTCCATCGCCGAAGGCGAGACAGAACCCAGGGATTCACAGAAAGACTTTCGGTCCACCGCTGGGGTTAGTGACTCCACAAACCTGGGTTGTACTTTAGGGTTTTGAGGGTTTTAGAGTTTAGGGTTTAGGGGTTTAGGGTGGGATCGCAAACATATGTATGAAAAGGTACCTCTATAGAACCATAAGTCGACATAAAAACCCTAAAAACCCTAAACCGTCATTACTATACCGCAAAGAACATAAAAAGCCCTAAACTAAACCCTAAACCGTCGCAAAGCTCCACCTGGAGACTCCCGAACTTCTGGTTGCTTGATCCAACTCAGAGATGACTCCTCCTTCCAACCCAAAGACTCCAATATCCCTTAATTAAGGAATATACCTTAAGGGTTCCTTACAGGGATCCTTAAAGGGATCTATAGGGTATAGGGTTTAGGGGAGTCTAATATCCCTTAATTAAGGAATATTCCTTAAATCATAGAATTATTTAAGGTATATTCCTTGATTAAGGGATATTGGAGTCTCTGGGCAAGGGCCCAGGCCCAACCCTGGTTTAGGGTTTTACGGTTTAGGGGTTTAGGGTGAAGTTTAGCAAACCTACTTGTCGGGTATCATGGGGAACTATAGGTTAACCTTTGTGGGTATATGAGAAAAAAACAGGGGATTTTGGTTATATAGGGATTATATAGGGACTTTTTGGTTATATAGGGATTATACCGACTTTTTGTTATAACTTTAGGGATTATATAGGTTCTATACTACAAAAAAATAGGTCCTTCCAGGGGCCCAGGCCCTGCACAATTAGCTTCAGTGAGTGCTGCGCGTTCTTTCCTGGAAAGACGGGCCGACGTGCGAACATCTCGCCGAGAATTGCTCCCACGCTCCATATATCGATGGCAGGCCCGTATACATTTCCGGTACAATGACAAAGCGCCTCTAATCTTCAAGTCGGGGGCTTAGAGGGTTGAACTAGAAGGTTTAAAGTTGAGGGCATATTCGGGCACAGGGCTTAGAGGTTCACGGGGCTGCTCAGGGTCTCACAATGAAAAGAAGACTGCCAATTAATGCCAAGAAGCCGAACATGAAAAATAACAACAGTAATCGCCATAGTTCAGTCTGCCTCTACTAATACCAATAATAGTAGAAGTGATAATAACAGTAACCACACTAACTATAATGACAATGGTTGATACAATACAATGCCAAAGAGCCTCTGGTGCTCGATACCACTCGTTGCCAACATAAGGATATGTGAGGCGGGGCGGGAAGCCTTCGCCTATCTCCCCAATATCCAGTGCGGCCAGCGAAAGGCCTGAGATTTTCAAGTCGCAGTTGCTGTTCACCATCAGTATTCGCGGTCTCAAGTCTTGATGAAGCACACCAGCAGAGTGCATAAACTTCAGCCCCCGAAGAATTTGGTAGGAAAAATACTGGCAATGCTGGTGAAGAAGAGATTGCTTGCTCTTTAGGATTGCGTGCCTCGGTTCTCGTCAAGGAACTTAATTTCAGTTACCATAATAACGAAACCATATGGTTTACTATAGATCCCTAGTATGTTAACTTAGCTTAACTATTAACTTCCTTTACCATACTAAGAAGTATTTGTTACTATAGATCACTTGTTTGGTAACTCAAATTAAGTTCCTTAACAAGAACCCAGACTCAGGTCCGTCTCCATGAGCACAGAGACGGAGTAAAGGTCTTGAAAAGTCGTCTTGGAACCTGGAAAGTAGATGTATCTCACATCAATGATGTTCTCGTGTTGGAAGTGCCGCAAGAGCCTCAGCTCCTTCAATTCCTGCCGTGTGTGGTGGATAGACTCAAACGTTCGCAGCTTCGACTGAAATGCTCGCATCTTCTTGATGGCAACCGTGTCACCCGTGATCTCATCGCGAGCCGAGCTTACACAGCCGTATGCACCTGCTGCTTCTGAAGCATGTTTGCTCAGCGCTACCTACTTCCGACCTTTCTCCCAAACTCTGATCCTTAAAACAAAGTGACAGTCGCTTCTATTTCCACCTTGTGCCACCAGATCCAGAATCGCGAACCGTTCGGGGGCTTGTATGGAAGCTCCTCTGCGATGGCTGAGCTGACAGTCAAGCTCCAAGGAATCCAAGATGTCTACTTGCCGCTGCTGCAGTAGGACCACATCTCCGTCCTCCGAAGCTTTGAACAAAAAGACACACTGTTGTCCAAGGCTTTCAATGCCTTTCTCAATAATATTTAATTAGCTGTAGCCAAGGAACGTTAAACAAACTCATGTGTACAACTTTTTTCACGGTCACGCCCATTTTTTAAACTAAACCCCTTAGAACCGTGGCACCCAGTGCTTCATCGTAAGCTAGGATATACAGGGCCTTAATTGTCACAGTAGGGCCTTGGCGTGCATTGGGTTAACACATAGCAGACTATAGCGACTAGAGACTTTCGACACCACAGGTTTTTAAAGCTTTTGTTGCAGGGATGATTACCTGATCTCACCTTTTAGGCCCTGCAAACCACCGGCCGACTAAACCGAAAAACCCAAAGCTCAAGCACCTAAACTTTTGCTGCAAGCTTGCCATGCAAATCATGCAAGGGCGAACCCTGTAAACCCAAACCGCCGTCGAAGTCCGCAAAGCGCACTTCCCCCCCTCTCAAAAAAAGCACCCCCGCCCTAAACCCCAAACCGTAAACCCTCAAACCCTAAACCCCAAACCCTTTTTGCATCAGGACTTGTGCAATCGCCTGAAGAACAACCCTAAACCCTAAACCCTAAAACCCCCCCCCCGTCCCCTCCCAGATCTGCCTTCAAGCCGGCTTCCTCAAGGGTTCCCTCGCACAGCATCTCACCCGAAGTTGTCAGCAGCACACCGGCGCACATCTCTAGAGAATCCAAGGCCTGCTAGGACCAGTGTGCATCCTTAAGCGCTTCTACACGTGTTCCTATACAGGCTTCTACTCACCCTCTACATAAGTTTGGGGTATAAAAGCCGTGGGGTACAGGGTCTTACGGTCTGCAATAGTACTTGATGGCAGGCTTGAAGGAGCATGAACTAATGATGCATGGGTTTATGAGTTGTATGTAAGGAGAATAGACTTAGATAAAATTATTTGCTACACCGAGGTCTATGTAGCGCTGCCCCACCGAAGAACATGCTGCCTGAAGGCATTGAAGTAGTATCCTGACGTTGAACTATAGTCTGCAGCCCTTCGCTGTTGGTGGTTGTATATACCGGTCTACTGGTTACGAATAATTCTGCTTCAGGTTGTTTGTTGCTTGATACTATGGTTTCGCCTTGGGGTATGGGGGGTATGTAACCCCTAACGCAGCCCCTCAACAACATGAGGCGCCCCTGACTCACTGACAGAGCCGCTTGCATCCTAGCTGGCCCTACTATTTGCTTAAGAACCCCCGAAAAATAAAAAATATATTCCTTATATGGGGTAATATAGGGATTATGATTTTATTTTTTGGTGGTTTCTTAAGCAAATAGTAGGGCCTCTTGCTTGAACTCCTCGATGGAGCATTGGGCTTCTCTTGTGATCTTTGCCGTACGGCCACTCAGTAGACTGACTTCGATACAGATCGAGGCCATGAGACAGCAAGAGGGCGGATCCTGAAGCTTGGGGAGCACCTTCCTCATGTAGGAACCTGATGATAACCCCGAAATAGCAGGGTTCATATAAGGAACCCTAACAAAGGCCCAAGGTTTCTAAATCAGCTTCCCACATTACTCATCTCTACGAACCTACAAATGACTGATAGTCGTGTTGGTTTGGGGCTTGAGTGTTGATTCGGTCTTACTTCCACCTCTTCCGGTCCGTCCGATTTGGTGTAATTCGGGCCGGTCGGGTTTTCTCTCGTAAAACCCCTCCGAGATCCATGACAAGAAAGCTTATATAACTCTTGAAGAAGCCTTTGTAACACCTTCATAAACCACCCTTCCCCTCTTGCACACTTTGCACGCGAGCCGAAAAGTCATCGCGGTGCATGACATCCAGTGAGTGTTCATACAAGGATCCTCTACTGGGAGCCCCTAAACCCTAAACCCACATGACACCACTCCCCTCCCCCCCTCCCCCCCCTCCCCCCCTCCACCCCCTCCCCCCCACCCCCTACCCCCTTGACCCCCCTTACCCCCCGAAGCTGTTATTCGGAATCCCTGCTCCCAGGGCGTGACTTGCCTCATGGCATCTTTGTGCTTCTTTAGCCAGTCTGGATGCTAAACTTGATGCCAGGTATTATGCACGATATACTGTATACTGTGTGCTATCTGCTGGGAGCGATGAACCTATAAATATATATATATATATATATGTATATATATATATATAGTTATGTCCATACATACATACATACATACACATAGGTGTCTATATGTATAATATGCGATATGTGCGATGTGCTATATGCTATGCCGCTATCCAATGCCGTGCTATACTATGCCACACTATGTTCTGCAATAATCTTTGAAGTTATGTTATGCTATACTTTGTTACACTGTGCACCACGTCGCTACCCTATGATGTGCTATGCTATGTTGTGCTGTTTTCTATGCTGTATACTCTATCGTAGTCTACTCTACTACACTATACTATGCTACACCATACTACTACTCTCACTCTTACTCTTGCTTTACTATTTGGGCTCTTTGGGGCCGCGAAGTATGACATCTCGAGAAGCTCCTGCGCCTTTTCCGGGTGGCAGCGTCAAGAGAAGCCGCCGACCATGGACCAGGACCTACAGTAGAAGCCCAAAAGTTGGAAACCCAATAGCCTCAATACTTAAGAGTCATGTATAGGGAATCCCAGCACTATTTGGCCTTCATAAGGGTTTCCAACTTTATGGGGTTTACTGTGGAGTATTGCCGTTTAGGGCTCCGTAAAGTTTTTTCACGTGCTCCTTCAAGGTTGCCCAAATGCTCTGGGGTTTAAGGTGTGGAGTTTAGCGGGGCTTAGGGGCTAAGGAATTGAATAGGTTCTTGGGTTTCGGGTTGAGGTAACTTACGATAAGGGTCCCATAAGTGTACCACAGCACGTACAAACATAGGAGTATTAGGACAAAAAAGTGTGCAGAAAGGTCGTCTGTGAGTGGCTATGTGGGAGCTTCCGAGAATACGGGGTACCTTATTTTGGGGTCCTTATAATAAGGATCCTACTATTCAGGGTTCTATATTAGGGTCCCCTATTTTCGGAATCTCCCATGTTGTCGTGATGAAGTCACAAGCCCCTTGATCTGCTTCCAGTCGCAGCACATGGCACATGTGACTGCGCAAAGTCTTTGGCAGCAAGGATAGCAAGCTCAGCAATTGGGGTTTAGGGGTGTAGGGATTGCTATATATATATGTATATGTAAAGCCCGTTAGGGTTTCACATATGCAGGCCTGACTGAGTAGAATAGGGCTTGGGGGTATACTTTAGACTGAATACGACGGGTCGAGACTGGGTTTTAATTATCTGACTCAAGGTCTCAGGCTTGCATCTCTAGGTTTCGAGATCAACACCAACTCCGAAAGCTGCCCCCTTGCCCAAATCTCAAGAAACTCAGCAAACCCTGAGCCCTAAACCCACCCTTATAATAGAACCCGTACAGCAACCAGTCTATAGTCATTAAGGCCCCACTTTAAATCTGTACAACCTCTGTTTTAACCCTGAATCTAAATTCTTGCTAAAGAATCTAATTTCAGTCAGCATACCAGGAACCTAACAAACAGTTTCCATGTTACTCGTTCACTAAGCTCTAAAACCCTAAAGTCCTGAAGCCTGAACAGTAAACCCTAAACTAAAACCCCTAAAAGACGTAAGCCCTATCCCTGGAACCCTTCCGTTGGAGCCTAAGCCCTTAAAGGAACCCTCGAAGGATCCCTTATAGGAGCCCTATAGATCCCTTTAAAGGAACCCTTCCGTTGGAGCCTCGAGGGTCTGTCCCGGTTGAACTCCCATCGGGACGGCGATGCTGAAAACGTCTTCCGATGGCCCTGCGAGTCGCACTCGTGTAGGGTTTCGACTCACACACTCGCACAAGGCAGGCATGGCTTCAGGCACGAAGTCCGCTGAGCTTAGGGTTTAAGCGTTGGGGTTTATAGGGCTTCGCACCTATAGACTATAGGGTTGAGAACTGAGCTCACGGTTTGGATTTGCCGGCTTCGCGTAGGCGTAGACAAGAGAGCTTCAGACGGGTTCTGCATGGGCTTTGAAATGGCTTTAAGGGTTCAGGTGTCTATTAACAGGAATGCATGGTTGCATACGGCCTCCTAGGAGGGTTTTCCAAGGCTTTGCGAGGTGACTAACCTTAAGTTCCGTCAAGTTCTTAAAAGCTTCAAAACCCCAAACCCCCAACTCTTCGATGTAGTTAGCGGATTTGCAGGCTATGATAAAACCCTAAACCCTAAATCGTACTATGGGCTCAGAACAGCCAAGTCGGTTCAGCAAAACATGGAAGAAACTACATTGGAGAGTATAAAACCCGAGGTCCTAAGTCCTGAGTCTCCAAAAGCCGCTAACAAAGCAATCCAACCCCCTATGCCTCCAGGGACCTCATCATGGGGTCCTAAATGGGTCTAGGGCCCTAAACAGTTCTGTAAACAGATGAGGGTCCCGATTGAGGCCCCAAATAGCACGGCACCCTTGCAAAAAGGATCCTGGACGTGAAGATGTGCGAAAAGAGGAGACTTTACAACCCCAAACCTCAAACCGCCAGCAGCGCTAATGCGGGCAATGTGCGTTCAAGGAATTTTCATCGGCATCAAGGATGACAAGGACCCTTGCTCAAGATGAGTTCAAGATGGCCAAGAATCATTACTGTAGCTCCAAACTCACCCCCAACCCCAACCCCAACCTTAAACCCTCACCAACAGGGGAATCTCAGGCCCTAAGCTGCTATATAGACCTTCAATGACCAAAGAGGAGAACGACATTTCTACTTAAAACCAGAAGCTCTAGTATTGGTATGAAAGATAACAAAGCTCGAATGCGTTTTTTTGCCTCCTGCATGGCTGAGCTCACGAAAAACCCTTGAATTGCTCCAAAGCCCAGCATTTCAGAACGACTTAGATAGAAGCTAACACCCCCAAACCGCACTGAATCCCAGGCCTTTCGGGAGCCTTTCTTATGACCCTCACAGAAGCAAGAGTCGTAAGCCCTAAGCCCCAGTATCAACCTCAATTGCCAAGAGAACGGGAAAGATAATCCTAAACCTTAATTAAAACCCTCAGTGACCACACCGACATGAAAAAGGAATTATCTGACCAAGAGTCCGACAAGCCCTAGTAAAAGTATCAAGGATGATCCTTTCTGCAATCTCTGTATTCTAGGGGACCTTAAAGGAACCCTTATAGTAACCCTTAAACGATCTCTTATAGTAACCCTTAACAGAACCCTTGTAGTAACCCATAAAGGAATCCCTTATAGTAGCCCTCAACTCCGCCTTCATAGAAACCCTTATAGTAGCCGTTATAGTAACCCTGATTCTAATTAACCCTTATAGGACCCTTAGAGGAATCTAAAGGGCGGCCTTGCCCCTCGCTGGCCGGAGGCCCAGCCCCGTCGACCACGGCCAGGCTGCCAGCCGAGGGGTCATAAGCCACCTGGAGCCTTGGTCGGGTGCTGTTTTTTCTGTTGGTGATATGTATCTCTCTCTCGATTTATTTATCTATTGATTCATTTACGTATGTATTTAAATGCACACACACACATAATATACATATATATATATACATGTATATATATATATATATATATATATATACGTATATGTGTATCTATCTGTATGTGTGTTGTTTTGCCGGATTGGGGTGCTTAAGCTCTTTAGAGGTGGAATGTTGAGTATACGAGGCTTTTTGAGTTTGGTGAGGCCTTGTTTGAACATGCTTCGCGATCTCTCGGTCTACAAACAGAGTCTCGGATCAAAGCTTCCGGGTTTCTTACATCGGGCTGTTGTGCGGGGGGAGGAAGTGGCGCTGCAGGCTTTGGTGATTTCAGGGCAAATATATATATATATATATATATATATATATATGTACATGTATATATCACGCACACACAGACACGGACTCAATGACCTGTCAGCCGCGGCGCAGAACAAAGCGCTACTTGCCTTTGCCTACAACAAGGACTTCACATGCAGTGCCCTATGCCGACTTGAGGCATAGTTATAGCGCAGCGAGGCTTGAGGGCTTTGGGATTTGAGAACTTTCTTTTTGGCTTCAGGATTCCTGGCGTATGTAGGGTTTCTGAAGTAGTCTTTAGGGGCTTCCGAAATCAGAAGTTCTGCCTTTGAGGGTTTGTGCTGAGGCGCTGTTGGCCGCAGTTCGGAGGCACGGTCACCGTCAACTCTCGACCATCTGGCACCTGCACAGGGAAACTCAAAGCCTTAGGGAAGGTCCCTATGATCGGCTCAACAACAGCATGGGTTTCCGTTTTAGGGTGTGTGTTTAGGGTTTAGGGGCTTCTCTTATATACAATCTCAAGCCAGCTGATGGCAGGAGGCACATAGCTGCCGACCCTCGAAGTCCCACGATGATGTTTCTCATTTTTAACCTTGCAAACTCAGACTCCAATGCCCCCACATGCCCCCAGGTGTCGAATCTACCCTCCTCGAGCCGGGGCGCCCGAACTCCCAACAGCTGACCCGGCTTCACTCCATCGGGCACGGGGATGCTCAGGAGCAGCCTCAGATTTTGATTAGGGCTTAGGGTTCAAGGATGCAGTGCGTTTAGGTTTAGGATTTCCGGTTTTGCGGGTTCGGGCTGAGGTAGTTGAGGTTGCAAGGTACAGTATTAGGGCTACTTCTGGCATGACTTACTGGCGCATGTAGCCCTGCTGTACTTTATGGCAACTAATCTGTTTAGAGCTTGCTACATCTGGGTTTGACACCATATTTGTCTTGTTCAGGGCCCTAAACCCTAAACCCTAAACCATAAACCCTAAACCATAAACCCTAAACCATAAACCCTAAAGCTTCCAGCTTTAGGAGTTCTGGTCCTCGAGCTCTTCCACTTGCAGAGCTTCTCGAGACTCGGTCGGATTCGGATTCACCCTTTTTGGCTACTTGGACCCAAGCCTAGCCAGATCACCTCCTGCAATCAAAGCCCAAACCCTTAAATCCGTAACGGAGTTTAAGGTTTTCGGAGCTTAAGGTTTTTATCACTTTCGCATTGCTGTGGAGTTTAAGGTTTATGGTTTAGGATTTTTCCGTCAGTTCACTGCCTTGTCTCAGGCTCGATGGGTGTCTTGGGTCTCGCCCGGATTCAGGCTATTCGGACCTTATCTAAACTCAAAGCCCCATAAGTGCTAAAACCTGAGCCCTATAAACACTAAACTCCAAAACCCAAAGCCCTATAAAGCGCAAATCGCCCGAACTGAGCTACCGATCAGAAGTCCAGGCCCGGGGAGGCTCTGCAGGTTGATGGTTGGGGAATAATGTAGGAACCTGATTAAGAAACCCTGGGCCTATAACCCCCAAAATAGTAGGATTCATATAAGGAACACTCATAAAGGCCGAGGGTTTCTTAATCAGGTTCCTACATTACTCAAAGCCTCCAAAAATCCCTGACTCCTAAGCCCTAAACCCTGTATATCTTACATCTTGAATGGACTTGCTCCATTGAAGCCATAAACCCCAAGAGAGCAGCTTACCCAGAAAGTCCTGGAACGGCCATACCACGAGACCCGAAACCTTAAACCCTGAAAGCCCTACCTAGAGTCACCAATGTACCTATGACCTATATGACCCCAACAAATTGGTACATTTACCATGTTTTAAGGAAGCATATCTAGTTACTTTGTACCTGGACCCTAAGGAACCTACCTTTTCAGGCCCCCCTCATATGATTTCTTTATATACGTCCCTAAAAAGGTTTTTATATACGTCCCTAAAAAGGTCTTTATATACGTCCCTAAAAAGGTAAGTTATTCGGGGTTAAGGTAAGGCCTTTACATTACCTTTGTGACTTTTTCGAAGCCCAAGGGGCTGCTGGGTGGGAGGCGCCGGAGCTGCAGGAGCTACGGGGGGAGCCACTGGGGCCGTGGGGGCCGCCGGCGCTGTCGGCGCTGCCGGCGCCGACGGGCTTTGGGGCAGAACCTGGCATCGGATCTTCGAAGGGCTCACGTGCATCTCAAAGTACGTCATATGTACATACGTTCATGTGTTCATCTATGTCTGCATAATTGTTGTGCAGTTTTCGGCCTCAAACCTTTGTTTTAAATTATGTAGTTATGTGCTATACATTGTGCTATCCTTCTGCTGTATTATGTTGTGTACATATGTAGGTATGCATCCCCTGAACTCTGAAGCCTACTCTAAAGCCTCCAAATCCTAAACCCTGAACCCTTGCAAACTCTAAACCTTAAATGCCCCCAAAGCCCCAAGCCCCAACAGCTAGAGCCGCGGAAACCGAACTCTCAATGGAAACCCTAAGCCCCAAAGCCCCCCCCCCCCATCCCTGAACCCTGTACCTGGCTCCAAAGCTCTGAGGGGTTTAGGGTTGGGGGGGGGGGGGGGGTACCGTTGAGGGTTTTAGCGTTCATAAGACCCCGAGGATCCAAGTACCCAACTTGGGCTTCCTAAGCCCGCAGTTTAGGGTTTAGGTGTAGGGTTTACTCTCCTCCTATACATACCCGTTTGCACAGACTTGTAGATGCCCGCCTGGATGTCCTACTTACCCTTTTTGCCACTGGACTCAAAGCAAGCCAGTCTACGACCCACAATCGTCCTACTTACCCTAAACCCTAAACCAGCTTAGGGTGGAGGGCCTTGGGGTTCAAGTACAAAGAGGAGCTACGCTGGGCTATCTAGAGCACCAGATTCATCCTTGGGCTGCAGAGGCCTTCATCCTCGGCCTCTATGAAAGTCCTCTAGAATCCGAGCAGAAAAGTCCTTAAGCGGTTCAGGGTTAAGGGTGAGGAGGGTAGGGTGTAGGGTGTTAAAAGCCATATCAAACTCTACAGTCCCCCAAAGCACAGGCTCCCACACAAAACAGCACTTTAGGAGAACAAACCACCCTCTAGGGTTTAGCTGTAAGGCCCAGCGAAACACTAGAGATACCTTCTAAACCCCTACCGACCCCGGAGAACCCCAAACCCTAAGCTGAAAAAGTAACCCTTAAAGCAGAGAACCCCTTAAAGAAGGACCCCCTAAAGGGACCCAGAAACCCCTTAGAGGAACCCTTCAAAGGACCTCTTTAAAGGTGATCCCTTTAAAGGTCCTAAACCCCTAAACCCTAACCCAAAACCTGTTTTTCAGCACGGACGAGGTGCCGGCCAGCCCTAAACCCTAAACCCTCCCTTTTCTGGGGGTGGACCCAGGGACGCCTCAAAGGAATCCTTCAAAGGACCTCTCTAAAGGGATCCCTTTAAAGGTCCTATACCCTAAACCCTAAACCTTAAACCCTATACCCTAAACCCTAAACCCTCCCTTTTGGGGATGAGCTCGGATCCTGGCCTCGAGGACCTGACCCATGGTGGGAGCTATGGGCGCCGAAGCGCCGGGAGCGCCGGGAGCGGCGGCAACGGCAGGGTAGGCCCCCTTGGGGGGTTTAGGGTTTAGGGTTTAGGGTTCAGGGTTTAGGGGGGTTGTCGAGGTTTAGGCTCATTAATGTGGTCTCCTGATTATTAAACCCCCCCCCCCCCCAAACAAGTCCAGTCCCTGTAATATTAACGGGGGGTCCGCATATCTCTGACCTGAAGTTGTTTGGGGGGTCCGGGGTCGAAGTTGTTTGGGGGCCGGGGGTAGTACAGTAGTACAGTAGTACATTAGTACAGTAGTACAGTAGTAGTACAGTAGTACAGTCTGTCCTTTATCTTGCCTGTTTCTGTCTCTCCTCTTCCAGGGCGTCAGTTTGTAGTAGGAGTGCTTCTCTACTTAAACCTTAAAAATTTTAGGACGGGACGGGTTTTAGGACTATTGAGGGGTCTTTATTATTGTGTGCGGGCCGAGTTTAGCTCTATTGAGGGGACCTTTTATTATTGTGTGCCGGGCCGAGTTTAGCTCTATTGAGGGGACCTTTAATAATCACGAGCTCACATTAAGGCTTGGGGTCTGGGGTGTTTTGGGGCTTTAGAGGATTAGGCTCATCAGGGCTTGGGGTCTAGAGTCTGTTGGGGTTTTAGAGGAGTATGTAGGTTCATTGGGGCTTTGAAATCTGGAGGGTGGTTGATTCTTTTTGCTATTCTGGGCCTTTTCTGGGGGAGTCTTAGGTTTTGGAGAAGTTTGGTGAATTTCTAGTTCAGGGCTCCCTTCCCACAGGTGCCAGGGGGTAGATTGCTTCACTAAGGCGGTGCGGGGGCCCCAGGCACCTACATAGTTGGAATCGGGTTTGGGGTTTAGGGTTCAGGGCATTTAAAATTCAAGTGACCGCAGTGTCCGGCTTTGAAGGTAAACGGACAAGGATGGGGACCGAGAACCCTGATACATGTGTACTAGGATACTGGTTTATGGGTATCATAAGGCTGCTGTCTCGTGGGCGAGGAAACATTCAGGGCTCCGTGGGTTTGGGGGAAGCGGGGGCTTTGGATCTGGAACTCAGGAATGTGAAGTGAACTGTTCGGTGAGGACGGGTGGGGGCTGGTGAGGATGCTTGCCGATGGTTGGTAGGCAGGGACGGCTGCTTCCTGCTGCAGGAACCAACGAGTTCTAGACTGCTGTGCGGTGAACCCTGAACCGTGGCAGATTCCCCTCGAATCGTGTCTGGGGTGTGGTTGCACCCTAGATTTCCAGGAAACCGGCCCTCGAGTGTCTTCTGTGGCCTTGCAAGAGATTCTGTGGGGTGCAGGGTTTTGGGCTTGGGGTCAAATGTATATAGGGTGACGGGGACTAATTCCAGACGCTACTGGATATCACAAGCAAGTCAAACCAACCTCACCAAATCCAGCATATTCCGCACAGTGCAAATAGATACTGTAAACACGTTTTTCGACCTGTACCGCACTTGTTGCCCTGCTGTCTGTATGGGGCCCTGTGTTCGGCTATCTCTGGCCTGTGCAGCGGGAGGCGCGGCAAGCTGAACGGCCTGAGTTGCAAACCCTCGACCCTAAATATAATGCGAGTAGTCTCATGACGCCATGAACGGTGGGGTTGATCTGCACGGTTTGGCCTTGAGGTGTCGGGGTTCATGGATCAGTATGTATAATATACCATATGCAGACGCTTTCAGGCTTATGGAGAGATGTGGGATGTCGGGCTTCAGATGTGAACACGTGTCGCATAAAAGGAAAGCCTGTCTTTTGCTGCAAGCGTTACGGTGATGCAGAGCAGATGCTTGCCGGATCGCAAAGTTCCAACTCAATTGCTGCATGTGCTGTACCTCTTCTTGTCGATGTTAACACACGGCGGCCAGAACGACGACCACAGCAACTGCTGCTTCTGCTGCCACTGCTGGTGGCACCGGCGCGAAAACATTGAGGAGTACTTGCTTCATGTAACAATTCGAGAAACTTCAGGTTGGTTGGTTACGAAAACTCATCACCAACAGATAGTCACCACTATCACTCCGCCCATCCTCATCCTCATCGTCGTCATCGCGATCGTCGTTGGCATCAGCAGCAGACGCGCCCGTGATCGGCATTGGTTTAGATGCAGGGCCTGCTCTCAACCCCCGAGTCTTGGGGTTTTGGGTTTAAAGCTCACAATTTATGGCTTAGGGTTTATGGGTTATCATCAAGTTGGGGCCAGGGGGTAGGGCTTCCTCTTTGAAGCTGTAACTGCCAAGCAGCACCCTTCTCCAAGAAGGCATGCATGACGTTGGTCAAATGCGCTGGCACTCCATGGTGGGTAAACCTCGACGGGTGTAGGCCAAAAAAAGCACAGTAGATGCTGGGGCTGCACTGCACTGGTTTATCTTGAGGCTTCCGCCACTGGTTGCTCGTTCTGGGAATTCTCGACTTGAACAGTACCAGGCTGCTGCAGTTTGTGGAAGCACATCTAGAAGGCGTCCAAAGGACACATACCCAACGGCTCCGGATCCTGAATGTAGGGGCTCTATTCGTTTAAGAGTATTCCGTTTGCGGAGCTGTTGGGCGGCTTCAGCACATCCTCACGATGTACGTCTGTCGTTGGGCAGTGGGGGCTTGCGCGAGATCTCTGAGATTACGGACTTGTGACACCCCAACTTTGAGGGTTCGAAGTACTGTGTGGACATGCTGCTTCCAAACCTGTCACAGCGCGCGCGATCGGAAGTTGGAGGACAAGTGCAGTGAATCCCGAGCCACATGGACTTTTGCACCACCACAAACCTTCAGTCGGCAAGTTCCAATCCAAAGCCAGAGCCCTATAATCCCCGATACCCTTGACCCTGTTTGGAGCCGGGACTTGCTGCTGGCAAACCCCGAAACCCTGCCCCCGAAAAGCCACAATTCTGGTCCCGGATGCAAGCCCATACACCCTGCATCCTTGGGACCAGTTTCACAACGAAGAAGGGGATTCAAATCCTGACCCCAACAAGTTGGACTCTTCCTGCAAAGACCCCTGAATATAGATACGTGTGTATATCTATAGATGTGTACGGACTATCGCAATCACACGATGTACCTAATATTCCGAGCGCCATGTGCAGTGTGGTCCCCATAATTGCAAATAGCCCCGGCACGGCCTCAATGCTACGTAGTTGGTGAAGGCCTCCAAGCCCCTTCGTCGCGCCTGCGCGAAGCCCAAGGCGCAGGGAGCAGTGGGCTCAAGTGCCCAAGGGTTGCAGGCGAAGGAGGGTTTCTGTTGCGGCTTCGTGGGTGCAGGCTTTGGGGATGGCGATGTATGTAATCATGTCACAGTGCCTTCACGGATAGAAGGTGGTTTCTGTTCATAAACAGTACCCATTTGCCAGCATGGGTGACTTATGCCGACCCAAACAAATGAGTTTTGGTCCGCAACCTCTGCGACCTCAAGCTCGAAACGCTGTTCTGAACAAAACCTACCCAAACGCCGTGTGTGTACATGTGCGTGTGTGTGTGTGTGTGTGTGTGTATGTTACGTATATATACATATATGTACATACGATACTGTAGATCTCAAACTAACGATCTGTCGGTCTATCGGTCTACCTATCTATCTGTCTGCCTGTCTGTCTATTTGCTTACGTACCTTCTATCCATCCCGAGAGTAACCATCATACCTTACAAAAAAGGATACATGTACCCTAAATAGTGGGATCCTTATCCAAAAAGGACCCCAAAATAAGGTACCCCTAATTGTCGGAAGCTCCCATTTCTACCCTTTGTTCAGGTACGTTGGCTTCTCGAGGTCTTTGCAACTATCTGTCTATCTATCGGCCGATCGATCGGCCGCTCTACCGGTCCACCAGTCTATCCTAAGGCCCCAAAGTAGCTTCTTTTTTCTTCCTCTTTGGGGTTCATATATAGAATCCTATAAGGTACTCCCAAAAAGGAACTAATTTGGGGCCCATGGGTATCGACCTACCGATCCATCTACCGGTGTAGTGTTTACCTCGGCCCACGAGTATGTAGAATAAGAGCCTTGTATAAGTGCTGGGCCTTACAGGAACCATTAACCCTACGAAACCCTGTTGAACCAAACCCATTAACACCCTCTAAAACCTGATGAACTCCCCGCCTCCCCCCCACAAAATCTTTTGTTGAAGCCCTACCAACACCGACGAAAGGGCCCCTATCCTCAACCCTCAAGCCCTAAAACCCCAAAACCTGTTGAAAAGGAAGTCCCTTATGGTGGATCCTCCAAGCTCGCGCCGGTGCAGCCGAACCAATGCTTTCCGGGGAAGGGGTAGCGGACGTTAACCTTTTGCGGGCTGCTTAAAGGGCTCCTGTTGCTATAAGGAGCAGTCTCATTTCATGAGGCCTCCGAACAGAGCCCAGGGCAGCTGAAAGGGTTTTAGGCTTCGGGTTCTGAAGCTTCTTGCAACACTTCTGGCTTTTAGCATAGTTTGGGCTTCAGGCATTTAGGGCCAGTGTTTGAAGCTTTAATCAGGGTTATGGACTTTAAGGGCTTACCTATAGTCTCCATTGTAGTTCCTTTTTTGCGTTACCTTTTTAGGATCCTTAATATAAAATTGGATAAACCAAAAAAGGAACTACAATGGAGACTATAGGTATTGTCCAAGATATCCAAAAGCGAGTCGACACCAGGCAGATGGCAGGTCTCAAAACGGGCTTCGGACTGTTGATGGACAAGATCCTGCATTACCCACTATAAGGAATCTATAGGGGTACCTTTAAGGGGCTCCTTTAAGGGATCTATAGGGGTTTTAGGGTTTAGGGATATAAATCCTGCATTACCCTTTATAAGGAAGATACCATAATTCCCATAGTTTAGAGTCCTTAGGGTCATGCAGGATTTTGTCCATCAGCCAGAGTACTGAAAGCTTAGGGGACCAGGAAGCAAGATCCCATGAGCCCAAGAACCTTACCGAAAGGGTCCAAGTACCAACATAGTAGGCTCTTAGTGGATATGTGGGCCTGCAAGTTATTCTCTCAAATATATAACATGAATTCATGAAGGCCATCTATAGACTCTATAGTTTTGATGTTTAGAAAAAAGCTTTGATTGTTTAGAAGCTAGAAATTCTCCTCGACTGCTCAGGCTGTGTTGGGATCAGCTGCAGGATTCAGCTCTGAGTATTTGAGATCTGCTGGAGTGGCTTCAACGGTTTAGGGTTTGGGGTTTAGGGTTTAGGGTTTTCGGTACCCAACGACGCTGTCAGCCAATGATGTTGACAGGCGCAGGCCGAACGCTTAAGCGATCAGTGCAGCCCTTGTTGTGTGAGCCTTGCAGAAGCAGTGGCCATATCTGAATCCGTACGTCCACTGCTACATCCTGAAAACTGGGATAGTGACCCCAACAATGCCCAACAAGAAGCTAAACACAAAACATCAGGTTGGGATGGCACATAATCCCCCCTTTATGCCAGCAAAGTAAGCATGTCCCACCCTAAAGTCCACCTTGTGAGAATCCCCAAAAGTAACGTAATCATGCCCACAGACTCCCAGAGACAACAAGTAGATGGCGAGACACTTCGTATCTGAGCTGGTCGAAATCTCGGTATCGGCGCAAGACACGCCAAGTCCCCTTCGTCATGTGCGTGACATCCACCGCGAAGTAGGTAACGCCATTCTGCTCGCATATAGCCTGCTGCTCGCTCCGGCTGCGGTTTCCAAACAATGAAGTACCGCGGTACATGAAATATGGGGTTTCCGAAAATAGGGATCCTAATATAGTATATACCCTAAATAGTAGGATCCTTAATATAGAACCCTAAATAGTAGGATCCTTAATATATATAGTACCCTAAATAGTAGGATCCTTCATATAGTACCCTAAATAGTAGGATCCTTAATATAGTACTGGGATCCCTATAGTACCCTAAATAGTAGGATCCTTATTCTGAGGACCCCAAATTCAGGGACCCCCCAATTTTTTCGGAAACTCCCATATCATATGCTTCATAACCGACTACTTAGGACTTAGGTATCCGGAACCCTAGGGAAATGGAGGGACCCTTAGTGGGGACTCCTAGCCTATAATGGGCTATATAGTGGGTATCTAGTAGCTATATTAAGGGTATATACCTCGGGGTCCTTATTAAGGGTCCCTCCTCTTACCCTTGGATATAGAATTCAGCCACCGACCCCCCCCTAAACCCTAAACCCAGGCGGAGCTCACATCTGATCACGACCCAGGGTATCCGATCCACTATCGGGGGTTTATCGGGGTCGCGTCAAGGCATCGTGGGATGTAGGATTCATCTGCTCTAGCTCGTGGCTTAATCACCCCAACTATATCGTCAGTCGTGCGATGGTGCGAGGTGCAAAGGCTGAGTGTGGGAGAAGATGCTGTAACCATCATAATATACAACATAGAATATGAAGGCCCCTCTTGGCCGTAGCTTATCGTGTTGTTTATTAAAGGGGTTTTGGCCTCTTTGGGTACATGACCTGCGGGAGACGAAAAGATGCCACAACTGCCCCGACGACGAGCCACCGAAGCCCTCAAATCTACGAAAGCACACGTCAGAAAAACCAGAGCATGAAGCACACTGCAGACCCATGGAGGTGCACCTTGATTTTGCTAGTGTCTACCTACACTCCTGACGCGACGGACCTTGGCAACGCAGCCAGGCAAAAGAACTTTTTGATTCTTATAAGTTGGGAAGCCATGAAACTGGAGACATGACCACGTACGGGTCAGGCTTTGCTCTAAAAAAGCTTCCGGCGGAGAAATCGATGGTGCCGGCTTCATTTCATCTCGTCGTAGTATCATCTGCCAAAAATATGGACAGATTTAGATGACCGGTAGATAGATAGATAGGTAGATAGATAGATAGGTAGATAGATAGATAGATAGTGGGAGCTCACAGGCTCACAGGAGTGTTCGCTCATGTCGCCGGTATAACTAGTATCATGATAAGAAAAGTCTTGCCTATCCAACGTCAATCGCTGAGATCTTCAGGTGTTTGTTGGTCTTCAAAGGGTCTTTATGAGGCATTTACCGGGTCTTTACCTGGATTTTGCATGTCTTTATCGATACTTTATAGGGCTGAAACTAAAGTCTTTATTTGGCATCTGCCTGGATGCTGAACATCTTTTTTATGTGGACATTATAGGATTGAAGGCCCGAAGCTCCGAACCCGAAGCTGCAGGTGAAAACAAAATACAGAGGATTTCGTCCCCACCCCGACGGGTCTGAAGTAGCGATTTTTTGCCTTGGGTTTAGAAGAACAACTTTGTAGGTTACGGCAAACATCCAGACCCTACATTCATCCAAACCCGAAGCCGTACAGCAACCCTAAAATCACACAGCACAATCCCCGGACCCCATAACTGAGCTGCGCCTCCCGAGGAAGACTGATGCGGGAGACTCCCAGCGACGGCTGCCTCTGGCTAGAACCCATCCTCGCAGCACAGTTGGAGGCTACACAGTTTCAAGCACTATAAGGTGGAGGTTTCATACTTTCATGTTAAAAATTTGGGGTTTCGGGCAACGTAAGGTTGAAATTTTGATTGGGGGTTGGGGTATGGGATGAGGCGCTTACAAGATCAGGGGACTTCCTTGTAGTTTATCCACTTGAGTTTGTATTGAAATCCTGAATACATTCAATTTCCAATGTGAGTGGCCACATTACATGGGAAACGCTGAATATGGCTCTCCAGGGTCGCGCAGCCTTCAATTCGACTTAGCCATGTGGGCCTCAATCCTGGATTCGACCTTGAAAAACCTCAGCCCTATGGGGTTGAGGTTTAGGTTCTGGTAATCCGAAGCATGACATATCTTGATTTCCTGTTGTCAGGAAACAGAGTACAGCGAAATGCACTCGAAGCTCAGGGTGCACTTGGAGGCCTTCTTTGACTTTGCTAGTCGACACAGTATCCCGCGTCACTTTAAAAATCATTAATGTGTGTGTGTGTGTCAGCCAACTAAGTATCTATCTTGCTGAAGCAAAAAAGCCCAAGGAGATAATCCCAAGTTTATCGTCGAGGGTACATATATATATATATATGTATGTACGTATGTGTATATATATATATACATGGACATGTGGACATATGTATCCAAACCAGCCCCTAAGCCTTCAACTTCCCTAAAGCTTGTATCGTCATAATTGCGGACATGAAAGCCGCTGTAGCAGCCTCGCTCAGGCTGCGCTTGACTATACAGGGAACTCCAGAAAGTTGGAATATGGATTAATGGTAGGATCCCCTATAATTTACCTTAGAGGGGTTACGATAATGATATTCCAACTTTCTGGCTTCTACTGTACTGTCGTACGGCTTATGAGTCGCACCACGAAGGTTCCCTACCAGTAGCTACGAAAACAGCAGCTTGAACCTTTGGAAACACGACCTGAACCCTAACACCCTAAGCCCTTTTATTGCAGCGGACCGTCCAAACCAGATTCAGATACTGAAGGTGCCTCAAAAGCATGAATACGAGTTGGGGGCATAGTGTCACCTTCGTTGGAACGGTGCTACAAGGGGATACGACACCTGTCACTAATTTCTCAGACCTCTATGGCACCGAGATAGACGTACCCCGACAGAGAGAACCTGAAGCACAAAAAGGCCCTCAAACCCGAAACCCTATAGCCCCTTAAACCCTAAACCCACATTCCCCAAATAATACCACTCCTCCCCAAACCCTGCAACCCTGAAGCTCCAAATAGCCCCAAAGCAGATACTACTTCTATACTTGAAGCATTACCGACTCTACTTGGGCCAAAACCCTATTCTAATTCTGAAGGCTCATAGTTATATTATATTCTAGAACCCTACTATAGATCCCTTATAGACCCCTTTACTTACAGGAGCCCCTATAGATCCTTGAAAGCAGCTTTAAGGCCCCTTTAATAGACACAAGCGGACGCATCCCCATGTCGAGTGACGTCGCCGCCGCCCCGAGAGTGCCACCGATGACAGCACCGACCGGGCCCAGGACCATCAATCCCAACACCTTAGGGTTTAGGGCTTCGGGCTTGTAGGATTTAGGGTTTAGGGGTTTTAGAGGCATTTATGGTTTAGGGTATTAGGGCATTAGGGTTGACGGTTTAGGGTTTTACGGTTTAGGGTTTCACGCAAAGTTCAGTCAGCTTCGTGCTGCTTCTGCACGATGTTGGGGCCACAGCTTCCGGGGATGCTTTTGGAGGTGTGCACCACCCTTGTCGCGAAATCAGCTTTCTATATGTTCCTACTCGCCTTGTTCTCCAAGTTAACAGTACTCGTTACAAAGCCTATCTAAACCCTAAACCCTAAACCCTAACCCCTAAACCCTAAACCCTAAATCAACAACCCTGTCAGCTTATTCTTCGGTTACTCGACCAAAGGTCCAGTCCCCACGGCCCTTGGCCATCTGATGTAGGGGCGTTGATGGTTAGACTGGGGTTCTGGGCTCCTTTGTAGTATGGGTATAATAAGGAACCCTAAGGGATACGACTGACAATCATCAACTTTACGCTTCTATATTCTGGGGATTCTGTTCGGCTAAGGCCTAAGCCCTAAACCCCAACCCTTGCATTGTGGCAAAAAACAACCGAAAAGCCTTAGACCCCAAGCCCTAAACCCTGAACACTTTTCTCGCCGAACTGCCGCACATCCCACCGTAGCCGCCACAGAAGGCGAACTACTATCCGAAGTGGCCGCTGGCTGGGCCACCACGACGTTCCTCGACTTTGGAACGGTTAAGGCGGGCTGTTCCTTAAAGACGAAATGAGCCCCAAAAGGGTTTAAGATTCATATAATATGGCCCTGAAAGGGTTGAAGGTTCATATACCATAGCTGTTCCTTCAAGGGTTGGGTTTAGGGGTTTTCGGGGTTCGGGTTTCTAGGGGTTCAGGGCTTCCAGGAGTTAAAGGTTGATGAGGGTTTAGGCACCTTAAAAAAAGGGTTTAGTTTAGGCTTCATACACGAGCTAGGGACCTAGACCCAAGAGTAACTTAGGAATAAAAAGGGTGCCCTTTTTGGTTTAAAGGGGCTTATAAGGGAACCTGAACCCTCAAAAAGGGAATAAGGGCCTACTCTGGGTCCTAGGGACTCATGCTATACGGGTACGGTATAGGGCCCTTGCTTTTAAGGGTCTTTTGGTCCTTAAGTTGACCCAGGCTCCGACGAGTCAACCCGAGAAGTTCATGGCCTGGTGCGGGACTCTGCAACCTGACCTAGAGTGTGAAGAAGCCCCTAAGCCTTAAGCCCTAAATCCTAAAGCCTTAACCCTAAAGCCTTAACCCTAAATCCCATATAAATCCCATAATCCTGTAATCCCCAAAATCTTTAAGCTCGAAACACTAAACCCTAAAGTCTTAACCCTTGAACCCCAGTATGAACCCTAAGCTCGAAAAGCCAGGATGCGGCGGAGGAGTTTGATTCATCTGGGCCTGGCTCCGAGCTTCGGGGATACGGCTAAAGACGAAATGAGCCCAAGAAGGGCTCAAAGGGTCCTTCTCACCAAAAAAAGGGACTCATACTACAAGGGTATATGGCCCTTACTTTTAAGTTTAAGGGTCGTTTGGTCCTGAAGCACGGTTTTAGAGTTAGCGGCCTAGGCCTTCAGGGTTTAGGAGCCTGCCGGGATGCCTATAGGTGAGGTATACCTAACCAAACAACCCCGAAATCCTCTGTAAAGGCTCAGTGACAACCCAGCTATATAATCCGAGTGTAAGAAACATGGGTAAAGACCCTAAACCCTATACCCTAAACCCCTAAACCCTAGGCTTAACTGTCGGCGAGTTCTGCGAGACGAAGCAGGAGATTAATGGGATCCTTTCCTGTTCTAGCGGGATGGTCGTTCAGGGGTTTGGGGACACCCCGGTTGCTCGAAGTCCTATGCAAACCTAAAAGAGCCTGCTGAGCCCATTTTGCCGCGCTCCAAAACACAGTCCGTGCCACCCCCCGGTAAGCCCTATATTAACCGTCGACCCCACCCCAACCCCTACATCTCCAACGGTACGACATTCCAAACTCCCTCATCCCAGGAATCCTGGCCATGCAGTCTTCAATGACCTCAGCGCCCAAACAACCCCATAAGAAAAGTCCTTGCCCAAACCGCCTCAAACGATTCAAGAAACCGGCTCGGGGCCTCAGTGTTCTTCCTGAAAGCCAAGTAGGCCCACAGGCGCTCTGAAGCTCAAAGAAACAGCGGAGCGGAGGCAGCCGGCTTGGTTTCCCCTTGAGGGGTCCAACTAAGCGTATAGCATACCCTCGGTTCGACTCGCGCACTCGCACGCAAGCAGGCACGGTGTCATGACTTCGGGGAGACGGCGTTGACTTTGGATCTATACAATTGAGGGTTTGAGGATTTATAGGGTTTACGGGCCCGTTATAGGAACACTTGAAGGGAAAAAACCAAAGGCTCCGAGTTCGGATGATGTGCCACTCCGCAGACGTTACACAGGGCCTGCATGAGGGCTTCGGGGTATATGATAGGACAACTGCACAAAGGGTAATTATAGGGACGAAGATTGAAAGATATCTAGGCTTCCATACGAGAGTGTTGGTAGGTTAGGTTAGGTTAATGTACGGGCCTCAATAATTTGAATAGGGCTTTGGTTGGGATATTTTTCCTGTATAGGTACTATTATGAGGAACCCCCCAAACTCTATTCTAACTATATTAAGGCCCCTACATTAAACCCGCATAAGAATACTCATTATAGTAACCCTTTTTGGACCCTTCTTAAGAACCTTTAAAGACACCCTATTCTACTGATTAAGGTCTCTATTATACTCTAGAACCCTACCATAGATCCCTTAAAGGAACCCTTATAGTACCCTTCAAAGGAACCCTTAGAGTAACCTTTCCAGAAACCCTATATAGCCTGACCATTAAGGCCCCTACATTAGGCAAAGGGCCTCAGACAACGTCTTTTTGCCTCGGGGCAACTGAAAGCCAGGTTCGGGTCGAAGTGCACTTCGGCCGTTCTCTAAATTAGGGATTTAGGGAGTTTCGGGTTTCGGGTTCAGGGTTTAGTGTGCAGGGTTTAAGGCTTAGAGTTTAGGGTTTCGGGGTTGAGGGTTTAGGGATTTAGGAGTTTGGGGGTTTAGGGGTTCGGCCACCAAACTAGTACGGCACCGAACCTAATTCAGAGAACTACCCAGATGAATGTTGAGCTCAAAGCTGTGAGACTCGGTTTTGTCGCATAAAGGCAGCAATGAACCGATTTGAGTTCGTGTTCTCTGGCAGTAGCCCTGGCAGGCAACATAAGTATAGCATAACCAATTGTTACGAAACCGTTTAGGGCTCAGTAAAACTCCGAATAGCCCGAATTCCCTATGTTTACTGCTTTAAAGGATAGGCGGCTTCCCAAACCTTGGCATTTGGGGCTTGACATGGCGAAAACCGAACGTCATGGTGCATGATGAATGGCTGTCTGTCTGGTTCTTAGTAGGGAATGGGGGAATGGATTATGGAGACCAACATTGGGATGATATAGGGACTACTATAGAGATCCATTCCCCCATTCCCTACGAAGCACCAGACAGATGAAGCTTCATTGCATTCGGGTGGGTCTACGGGTCACGAGGAGAATCGGAAGCTACTTAATAAAGAAACCTCTCTCTGTCTCACACGGACTCGAGTCGATCATGCCGCGAAGAAGCAAGCCGCAAAAAAGACACCTAAAGCGACCAATTCTTTCAAGCTTTCTCTCTTTTGAAACGACCTGGGCCCGTTCTAACTCCAGGTCGCAGCTGAGCGATTGCGACCCTGTTGGTCGCCTGCATACCGTCTGGATATCGAAGCCATTCTTGACTTACGGAGGACAGGGCGGCGAATGTTGCGGAACGTGGGATCTCCAGGTGTCGGTGGCTGTCCAATTTTCTTCGAAGCAGAGCCCCCTAAATAATGAACCCTACGAAATGATTTGATTAGTGGTTGAGAATGCGACACAGTCACGGCGGTCGCGGCAGGAACCCTCACGAGGGGTCTCATGGACATGCATCTGCTTCTTCACCTGGGCTTCGGCAGTACCCTTCAGGGGTCCTACAAGTAGGGTAGAGTATAAGCTTGTGCGCTCAGGCGAAGCATGTCAATGATCATTACAAGCTGTATGAAGCTCTGCTGATGATCCAGCTTCTTAGCTGCTCCTGCCCTAGGGGTCCAGATTCCAATCTAGCAGGTCCTCTGAGGTATTTGACCACCTTGTGTTGGAACATAAGATAAGCCTAAACCTTGAAGCCCTCAAATTGTCTCCTATATAGCTAAACAGCTAAACCACCAACCCTAAAACAGCCTCAAAGTTGATCGCTCTGTGTTGGGAGATAAGCCTAAACCCTTGCAACTGGCTTGCAACGTCACGCCAGGACAGCTGTCTCGCTCCACGCCTAAACCCCAAGCCCTACATTCTACAAAAACCCTACCCTAAACCCTGTAAACCCTCACCCTTTAACCCTAAACCCTTATCCCTTTTTGCAACTGGGTTGCAAAACCCTTATCCCTAAACCTTAAACCCCTAAACCCCGAAACAACCAAAGAGCTCTGGAGGCTTCCTGACCCAGGTACCCCAAACCGTGCAGGCTCTTCAGAGCTGATCTTCTGGGGTCCAGAGGTTTAGTTTAGAGCTTTAGGGTTTGGGGTTTCGGGTCTATAGGGATTATAGAGTTCAGGATTTCAGGGGTTCAGGGTTTAAGGATTTTAGGTTTAAGGGGTTTCCCTGCTGCAGGCTGACTCCTAAGCAGCACATGCCGCCCATGCATCAGCTCATCAGCGGTGAACGCCCGGCATAGGTTATCACAGTCGGCTTATCCTATGACCCCTCACTTAGAGGGTAGAACCCTTAAAACGGTAGGTTGTCGGATCCCAAGGATTGCTTCAAAGGTCTGATTTAGTTTCGGGCTCAGGGTGTGCGCGTTCTGCGCAGTGCGGTTTTGGGTTGCTTTGCTTGGGTTATCACCTCGTGCTTGAACACGATGCTTATCGAACGGCAGAGATTAGGATTGCAGGGCTACGAGGACTTGATGACACGGCGCGTAGGGGCTTGACAGGGATTGTTCCACGCAAAGGCCGCAAAGGCTGCTGAACTGTCCGTTAACGTATGTTCGAAACTGGCCTCCTTTTGCAGCCATTCTGAAAGCCATGTGTCAACGCCAAGAAAGGCTGCATTAAGAAACAACCGTTGGAACAATCTCCTTCTCGATGGGCATGGGTCCATGCCGCCAAATGCGAACTGAAGCAATACACTTCCCTTAAGACTTAAGTAAGATCCCTGTTATAACCGCTATGAGCCTCAAGAAATAGTCAAGAAAGCTCGCGACAAAAGCAGGAACCATGTGCTAAGTCGAAGGCCGGCGAGTGGACGTCCGAGGCAGGCCTGTCTTGGCCGGCACCAACATGCAGAACGCACGCAGCGCCACGGTTTTTTTTTTGAACGGCCCTTTTCCTCCTCGCAACGAGTCCGAAGAGCCACGGTTTAGGGTTTAGGGGTTTAGGGGTTTAGGGGTTTAGGGTTTAGGGTTTAGGGGTTTAGGGGTTTAGGGGTTTAGGGTTTACCTGTGGCAAAAGCAAGGCATGGACATGAGACGGTGCTGAAGGTATAGGCTCGACTGAGGCTTCAGATGCAACAAGCGCTCAGCATCGCATCGATGCGAACACTCCTTAACCGACCAAAACCTACTTTTTGTAGGGTCCCTATAAATCCCTTATTAGGGTTTATAATAAGAACCTACAAAAAAGTAGGTTATGGTAGTTTAAGGCACTCCTTTCGACCAAAGCACCGCAATTAATTGTAACCCGCCAGGTCCTCTCAACTCCATCGTAAAGAGAAAATGAAAATGGGGCCTGATACCGGTATGACTTGGAAATGGGACTGGCAACCGGCCGGGTCAGTGAGACGCAGCAAGACGCGCTTCGCGCAGTGTCAAGCAGGCGCCTTTCCGAATCGAATTAATATACTAATACCCTCACGGGTGCCACTCGGACAGCAACATTGAGCAAGGCATGTTGAACAACTAGCTACACCAACCACAGAAGGAAGCGAAATGATCCATGACAAATATGACAAGCTTTCTACGGCTCTGCGTGTACTCGGCGGCAATGCGTGGCTAAGCTCCCCCTCTATAATGCACGGCACTTTGCATGTTCATGGACTCTGTGAGGTGGCTCGCAGCTGCATCCAGGTCTCCCTTCTCTTTGCACAGCAAGCCCAGCTCATGGAGTGTGGCGGCCACTTCTCCGTGAGCTCCCTCTCCATGCACAGCCCTTCTCATGCTGAGGGACTCGGTGAGGTGGCTCGTAGCTGCATCCAGGTCGCCCTTCTCCTTGCACACCACGCCAAGCTCATGTAGCGTGAAGGCGACTTCTCGGTGCGCTCGCCTTCCGTACACTACTCTTTTCATGCTGACGGACTCGGTCAGGTAGGTCGCGGCTGCATCCAGGT